ATAAATCCTTAATGCGAAATGATTTTGCAGCATTTAAAACCTGCTACTAAAGTTCTTCTCAAGTGTTTATAGTTTCTTCATAAACTACTGATTTCATGTAACTCCAAAAAACGAAACGCAGCATTCTAACTCACATTTATGTATACGAGTATACAATTTAATGTGTAAGCTAAGATGTAATTTTAATTAGATACGAATAATACTTAATAGAAATTAGCATACAAATGACAGCAATAAGACAAGTGGAAGACGTCAATTATTTGATTTTCGTCCAAATCCTACTTAAGAAACTTTACTGCTAAATTAATAATACATGTAGGTACTTAATTGTAATTTAATGCAACAACATTGGAAGTTTCAAAGCCAAATATCTCGAAAAGGTGCGAGATAGCTACTTTAATAAAGTGTACCTTTTTTATGTAAAAAAAGTTGAAAAATAAGAATTTGTTACCAAAGATGAGATACCTTGGAGTACAAAAAAGTTATGTTGTTTTTAACACATTCAATCTACTGCAGCTAGCGACCTCTATGAACATTAACCAAAATGTGAACAGATTTCAATACCTCTACTCAAACAACTTCAATTATCAAAATTTTGTGAGGATATTTGCATTTGTTAAGGAATAAATTAAAGAAAACTGAAATAATATTTTACATTTAACGCCCTGTATCTCTTTAACTATCAACTTTTGGACTAAGGTAAGTTCGGCTAAATCGCAATATTTTTACTTGGGGAATCTACCCATGAATTTTGGCCCATTACCTCGGGACCACCCTGTACATAGGATCTCGGAAACGGTAAGAGATACGAAGTAGCTGGGGGTAAAGTTGCATAATCAGGGGACCAACATTATGAAACAAAAAACGAATTTCCAAAATTTGTTTTTTTTTTCAAATATTTCGAAAAACTAATGTTAGTTTTACAGCCTGTATACCTACTAGTTAATATTATCCAAGGATTGGCACCAGACAAAATGCATTGCAATTGTTTTTTAAATTTTATAACTTTCGAGATTTTTGAGACTCAACATTTTTCTCTGCCCTGCAACATTGCCGCATTTGAAATTAAATTATATGAGAAATTTACACTTAATAATAAGTTACACAGAAATGAAGTGATTTATTTTATAATAAAATAATTAATTTCATTATTTAATATTAGCTGTTTTAAGAGACGGGAAATGGTTTGAAACTATCAAAAACTTTTAGTATTGTTTTTTTGGCACTATAGTCTATAGCCAGGGGGTTTTTAAACTGAAATAAAGGCACTGCACACAATATTATTATATATTTAGAAAGAACTATGCTATCACGCTATATTTAATTTATTTGAATCACTTTTAAAACATTATTTTGGTTCACTTTTAATCGTTAGGGAACCCCTTGTTATAATTCTGTCTAAAGAGCTATCATTTAAAGCCACAAGACCATCATCCAGAACTCGTCTTTGAGCAATATCAGTTAAAGTTTTAAAAGTGTACGGCTCCCAACAAGCTAAACTAGCCAATGTTTTTCTGTTCAACATTACATCAGATCTTACCAAACCTTCTCTAAATAACTCATAACTTATATTGTGCTGCTCACAAGCAGCTTGTACCCTCGTTTGCCACAACTAAAATAAGGATAAAATGTTATTTAGAATTAATACAAAACTGTTTTATTATAAACAAAAAAGTAATACTGTATATCTACAGAATCTTACATTAGCCATGTCCTCTTTTTTCAATTTCCTTCCTTTTGTTGCATAAACTAAAGCTCTATGAACATATCGAATGGCAATACTATAACAATTACGTTTTCTACCTTGAAATGCCTAAAACGTATGAAATTAGTAAAAAAAATTGTAGTGATTATAAAGATCATACCGCTGCTAATTTGAATATTTTTCGTTTTCGCCAAAACTCATCTGGTCCTCGACTTCTTATAAAATTAACAGCTGTTGTAAAAACCATGACAATTGGCTATATATTGGATAAAAAAACAAATTATTTCTTTAAAAATGAATATGAAAAAACCATTGATTTTCTACTATTTTCTAGGTTATTATAATTTCACAATAATATAATAAATAAAACTTCTGCCATCAGTGCCATCTGTGCCTTGGCCGTGGATTTAATTTTCAGTTAAAGTACGCTATTCACAGAATAAGATTAAGTTTTAAACTTTTTCCTTCATAATGTAGAGGTCGCCAATATAGAATTAGAATAACGTGATTGATAGGATTTAGCAGGGGTTTTAAGTATATAGGGTGAGTATTATAAAAATTAGGCATAAATTCAGGATCTGAAAAAACATCAAAATATAATTAATTTTAATTAAGTTGTAACAATATATTTACAAAAAACAATTTACCTATTGCACTGAAATTTCCTACAAACAAGTTTTTGAGGGTGAGAAATGTGTCTGTTAGTTTCTGTCAACCTTGTAGGTCGCTAGACGCAGTTCTGAAAATGCACTATTTTAGAGAAAAATGCAACTAATTCTGCCAAAGTCAACCAAATTCATTTTGTAGATATAGGGCGTTTCAGAAAAATACCTCATATAAATATATGTTTTAACATGATGCTGTTTCTGTGATATAGAGCCGTTAATATTTAATTTGTATAACACAATAATGTTTCAGTTAAGGTACTCTTTGACTGAAATTAGATCATCTCCAGGGGCGTTGCTGTCGGAAGTGACGTGCGTATAATTTGAATAGAAATTTTTTAACTTTGCTCTAGTATGTTTTAGTAGTAGTGGTTTAGTAAGTAGTAGTAAGTAGTGTATTAAATAGTAATAGTAGTAGTAGTAGCAGTAGGGAATAATATGATTTGATTTCAATATAATTTTACATTGCCCTGACAATAGAATGCCCTTGGCATAGTGCAGTTTCAGTAGTCTTTACAGGAATATGTACTTTTTTTTATTTAAATTGAATTATGGGTGGGAATAAATGACATACTGTGGAAAAAATAACATATAAAACATAGATAATTTGTCACTGTAATAGATCGCAGCTAAGGACCTCTACAATATAATATAGAAAATTAATAACATTGACGTATTAGAAGTTACGTGCAACAAATTTCAATATACGAAATTTTTTAACACCCTGAATTTCATTACCTACATATTTCTCTAACTTTCTAGGTGGTTTGCTGCTACATGTATTTCAGTAACGCCCTGTATTAGGGCAGTTTAAAAAACGGTTCTATAAATGAAATATAATTATAAGAAAAACTCGTTCGTCAGTTTTTTATATTTTATAAAGATTTTTTTTATATAAGTACGGCAGATTATTAAAAGCTTGAAAAATATATTAAAATTGGAAATTTGGTTCTAGAGTCAGTAAAATCCAAAATGTTTCGTATGTATTTAGGCCCTAACTCTTACAGATATATCTTTAAATCAAGATAAGGACAGCTGTTGCGAACAAGCTTTAAGACAATGAAAATTGTACGTATCGACATCGATTTACTACAAAGAGAAGATATATGCTTTGATCAACTAACTACCTCATCGAGCAATTTATTAGCTATTCTGATACCCATATTCCCCCAAATCCGCTTGATTTGAATACGCTGTTTTCTTAAATATGATGGAAATTCAAACTGATATTATTTTTTACCATTCACAAAGTAGAAATAATATTCTTGTTGTTAATATTAGAACTTTGGCAAAAGCAAAACATTCGTTTAAAACATAAAACACACAAAGAAAAGAGTTGGATCAGTTTAGGATTGTTTTTTTACAATCAAACGTTTTGCGTAAACTGTAATAAATAAAAAACATAGGTATCCCTTCACCTAGAGTTTGTGTTTCAATAAACTACCTCTACTATCTTCTAGTGCTTCGGCTGCCATTTTGACAACCACACAAGTAAACCCATATAATTACACTGCTTGTTGTTCTGTGACATGTCATTATTACCTTTAGAAGCCCNAAAAGAATCATCAAAGTAAACTAAAGCCTTAAAAACTTAAAATAAATAAATCATGAGCTAGTCGAGAAACCACTTTAACCGCTCAATTATTTGTCGAGAAACGAATTGAACGCATAAACGAAACGAACTTCAATCAAGAACTTAAGACGCAGGTGATTTTTTAAAATGTCTCGATTTCTCGACTCTTTTTTCTCGTCTCGAGTAAGGCCAGATTTCCCGGGAATTCTCGCTTCGAGAAGTCTCGACCAGAAACCCTATTTAGTATCTTTGGTATAGCTGTAGCATCCTCAGTTATAGCAAGCACTTTAGGGGGTATTTTCTTATATATTTTTTTGTTATTATTGTAGGTAGAATCGTACCTCCAAACATTAGAACGAAATTTTTTAACACCCTAAATTTCATTACCTACATATTTCTCTAACTTTCTAGGTGGTTCGCTGCTACATGTATTTCAGTAACGCCCTGTATTAGGGCAGTTTAAAAAACGGTTCTATAAATGAAATATAATTATAAGAAAAACTCGTTCGTCAGTTNATCAAATCCATTGAAAGCTTTGATCAAGACAATTGCACAATGAATCTTGCAGTAAACCTGATGCTGATTTCGGCAATAGGTACACAGCAGTCTTGTATCAGTGTGTTGTGCAAGATTTTGCTACCAGGGAATGATCGTTTTCGATTGCCTAAAATCATTTTTTAATCTTTTACATTTTGTAATTATTATGAAACCAAAAAACATGATTGAAATGCAAACTTGCATTTTTTATTTCAAATTAAACTTCAAAACAAAAAAAAGGTACAGGTCAAATGTATGTATAGATATTGTGCAAAAGTCAAACATACTATATCTTGGAGATAGTTGTCTATTCTATAGTTGAATTTAAAAATTATCTTTAATCCCTTAAAAATTTCATTTATCATAGACATTCTATATCCACCAAAAATACTCTTCGTTATAAGTCCTGCCATGTGCAAAACTTGATTATTAGGTACTACTGGTATGAACAAAGTAGTATTATGAATGAGTGCATCTTATTAATAAGCAACAATAAATTACGTAATTCCTTTGGATACTGAACTATTTGAAAATGTATTATATTCGCGGCGTTTCTCCCTTGCTTTTCCGAATAATTCGCCCATAGCAATTTTCCCATCAATAGGTCTTGTTTTTTACGTCAAATATGGATTTATTATATTATAAAACGAATCGTGATCGTGGCAGTCTCGCTCGCGATTAATAAATCGATAAGTTTATCGACAAGAACGGCTCATCGCATCAAGCACGCTCTGCACACTTGATAACGGCGGCGGCCGTCATAAGCGTTCATAACGGGGTGGATAAGCCGAGGCAGATAAGTACGTCTGCGAAAAAATAACCGGCAATTCAGCGGAAAAACAGGCTTGCACGTCATCTGTAATTGTCATAATAAGGGAATAAGGGCCCACGTTCAATTGGCATTGATAAGAATACGTTTTGTCTCTAATGGGTTATTGATGTACAGGGTGTTTAGAATTTTGGAGAGGATTTTTCAATGGTAGGTGCAATGCATCAACAATAAGCATTTCCAATAACTTAAACCTTCGAAACTGCAAATCAGCGCTAAAATTAATAAAATTGATAAGTCCTATTGGAAACTTCTGGCATTATCGACGAGTTACATATTTCAAATAGAAAAATTGCTAGTTCCATTTTAGTTACAATTACGAAAATGCGTGTCTTTTATTAATGAATAAATGTTTAAGTGAAGTCATTTATTTTTATAGGTTATAATTTTAACTGTGTCTTCTTTTTTGTAAAAGGACTGTATGTCTTAGATATGTGTATAAATAAGTGCGAATAAACATACAGAAATGGCCGTCATTGCAGTAATAATGAATTGCGATAACCTCTACAAACGCTGATGAAACTGCAGGTTATCGGTGGCTATCGGTGGAGTCAGCGGTTCTAAAATAGTTTTCATCTTACCAATGTGGTATTTTCAAAATATATTTCTGCCAATCGAGCTGCCGCACCTCGATTTTACTCTTAAAATATCCTCTCCAAGTTTGTAAACACCCTGTATAGGGTGATGATAATTTATGTGCCTAAGTACAAGAAATTTCGAATGCTGTAAGTAGTGAATCAAACACCTGTACCTGCAGGCTGTTGCAATATGCCACTGAAAGAACGTATAATGATTTATTTTCTAGCTAGAGGAGAATCTTGATAACATTCTGTATTTACAATGCTGGATAAATTATTATCTGTAAGTATGTATTTTTATAATTCTCTGTTACTACATGTTCTTATTTAATTGGGTATTTTTGCTACACCGGAAAAAAATAAATTATTTTCAATTTAACAGAAATACCTAATAGAATAAAAGCAGTTTTTGATCTACTGACTCTTTTTTGTATTCAACCATCAACTAATACCTTGGTTATTAGATGATTCCTACAATTTTGGTATTAGTCAATTAGTTCATATTACAGCAAGTGAATAACTTACTTATAATATAACTCAAGCAGTGCTGTAATTCTATTAAATATATGTTTATTTTTTCGATATATTTTTCTTGAGCATAAAAGTCTGATACTCCTATGGTTGGCCTTTTTTAGAGTTCTATAACTGCATACTGGACGATCAGACGTCATCTCACTAATAGTAATAAACTTGTAAGGATTTGTTATCGTAATTAGGTATTATCATTATTTTTGCTATGTTGGAGAAAAAGATATAAAACTGCCTATATTAAAATATTTTTTAATTTTGCCAGAAGTGCCCGGACTTACGTATTTATGTCTGTTTGTAAAAATTTCCCCATAAGAAAAAATCGTAGGTAAGAGTAGAAATCACTCAATTTTGTTATCACATGAAGAAGAAAATTATTAAATTTTAAATAAAGTATGCCAAGAATTAAACGTTTTCGACTAATTTGCATTTTTGCACTCAGTGTAGTGCGAAAGGTCAAATAAGTCGAAAACATTAAAAATATTGATTTACTTGATTAGTAAGAAACAAATTAAATAAATCTAAAATTAAATTAAATAAATCTAAATTGTTTTACTAAATAACTTTATCAATTAACAAAAAAATGGGATATTAAACGTATTATGTTATTATTATTTTTATTGGCTTAAACAT